CAAGATGGTTGAAGGGAGATTTCAACACTTAAAGACAGGGCTGTTGTGTGCACAGGTCAGTTTGGGAGACTCCGTTCTTTCCCTGCAGGACCCCTGGAGCCTTTTAGTTTCTCTCAGAGACTAACAAAGCACAAACCTCAAACTTGGAGACCACAGATAACAGTGTGTCTGTCTTATCAACCACCAGATGGACTTTTTACAGAGCGCCCCATGGGACTATTGTCCCAAAACACACTTAGGGACCACTGACCTATGCTACGCACAGCCCCCTCCTCAGACTCATCTCAGACCTTATCCCCTCCGACCTTATGTCCCAGGTCCACAGGGAACAGCCATCCTGGCCCAGAAAGCACCTTGCTATTAACAGGCCAGCCATACTCTCCACCCAGACATGCAACTGCTCCTATCAGAAATGCCCTCCACACCTGAAACTCTTCTCTCAGCCGAGGGTCAACCTGGGCTCCTCTGAAAGCCCTCCTTCACTCCCCTTTTATGTTCCTCCTTTGAGGCAACTGTCACCTTGTAACTTATCTCTTCACCTCTATGCCTTGCCCCCACTGACTTAGGAGCTTCACTGACCTATGAGCTTCTAAAGAGCGAGCAGTACGGAGTCTCTTCATCTCCGTTATCTCAGTACCTAGACACAATGCCTGGCACACACATGCTCAGTGTCAGCTGGTACATGAATAAATGGGAGGCAGAACTGCTGACGTTCATTTACTGATGACACAGAAAGTCCGTTACTTGAAGTCACTCAGGTAGTAATTGGCCACGCCCAAGCCTGGACCCACTAATTCACCTTTGTCTGCATTTTAAGGTGCTAGAGATAGAGGCTGGGCCTATGAGTATTCGGCACGATGCCACAGGTTAGACAAGGACTAAAAGCAGGTTCGGTGGTTAGCCCAGCACCTGAACAGTGCCTGGCCCACGGCAGGTGCTGATCAACAGAAGTTGCAACACTGGAACAAATGCGTAAGTGAAATAGAAATAAATCCTGACAACCATCTTCACTTTTGGCACACGCAGAGAGTTTAGGAGGCATCATAGAGACAGGACACAGGAAAACAAGAAGGAAATGAAGAGCGAGTCCTGGATAAAGAACCAAAGGGCTCAAGAACTTCTAGATGGTTGTTAGGGGCCCACTCAACAGGTGGCCACTCAAAAGTTAGCTTCAGGTATAAAATGTACAAAACCAAATGTCACACCGGTGCGGCCGAGATGACGCTTCGGCTGGGACCCAAATCCTCAGACCTAGGACAGGCTCCTTCACCTCTCTGGGCCCGTGTCCCCATCCGAGCTCTAGGACACTAAAAGGCTCTGAGTGCAGACGCGTGTTCGCACTGGGTGTGTTTGCTCCTCACCCGGGAGTGTGCATGCCCACCTTCCCTCCGGGCCCGCCCCAGCCCGCACCTGTATTTGAATGTGAAGCCGGTGCGGTCGGTGCCCACTCGATACTGGCGCAGGAACTCCTTGAAGCGCCTCTGCAGCTGCGATTTGCGGGCCTGCCCCTCGTCGGCCGCGGTGTCCCCCCCGAAGCTGTCGCTGTAGAAGATGCCGGGGTCGTCGAAGCCCGACATGACTGCGTCTGGCGCGGGGACAAACAGCTGGAGCAGGCCGGGGGCTCGCTCCCAACGCGGGGCGGGGGGACCCCGGCCCTCCCAGAAGAGAGACCCTGCCCACCGGCTGCGCCCTCAAGGGCGAACGCCTGCACACTCCCCGGCCCCCACCCACCCCCAGACCCGCCGGTCTCACCACCCCGTTCCCGCACTCCCGGGACCCAGGCACACAAGGACGTCCACACTCCGCCGCCGAGTTTCGCGGGAAAAACGAGACGCCGCGTTCGGACGCCGCAGCCGCTGCGCCCCGATTGGCTCGCCGGGGTCCCGCAGCCAGCGATTGGACCGCTCTGCGCCCGCGAGCACCGCCTCCCGGGCAGGCCACCGGAGCGGATTGGCTGCGGGGCGCATGACGTCATGCCCCTGGCCTCCTTCCGGGCTCCATTTTGCAGGCCGGACAATTTGGCGCGAAACTTCTGACCCGGGAGGAAGCGGCGGCGCGGCGGGCGCAAAAATGGCGGCGGGGACGCCTTCCGGCCCGGGCGGCGAGTCCGTGCGAGGGCTTCCTGTGTACACCCCTCGAGCCTTTTTACAAGTCTTCTGGGAAAATGACCGCCTGCAGAGCCAGGGCCAGGAAGACCTGGGGGTTCCAAAAGCCGTCGTCGCTCCCGGCGGGAGCCCGCTGCCCTCTGCGCCCAGCCCTCCCTGTCACACACCCTCCTGACGTTGGAGATAGTCAGAAATAAGTCAACGCTGGGCCCGAAATCCTCCCATCCTTGCGACTCAAGAATGTTTTCTTAGACCCAAAGGGTGATACCTTTTTTCGTTGTAGATTTCTCATTACTTGGCAATGCTTAAAATTTGGGAAGATCCACGACCAGATACCCAACCTAGCTTGAAAAACAGATTTGGCAAAACTCGGCGTTCTCCAGCAGCATAATCTCTCTTCCCTTCTTTTCCATTCCCACTCTCGAGGAGGAACAACTGGAAATTTTTTATCCCCTTTGCCACAGTCATGGAAACATTCACGCGGAGTATGTAAAATACGTGTATTTTTTACAGTGTATAAAACACAAATGAATCTGACACTTGCTTTTCTCAATACTTCATGGAGGTTCCTCTGAGGACAGAACAGACTTAACTCATTCTATTTTATTTTTTTAGTATTGGGGCGCCTGGGTGGCTCAGTTGTTAAGCAGCTGCCTTCGGCTCAGGTCGTGATCCCAGGGTCCTGGGATCGAGCCCCGCATCAGGCTCCCTGCTCCGCGGGAAGCCTGCTTCTCCCTCTCCCACTCCCCCTGCTTGTGTTCCCTCTCTCGCTGTGTCTCTGTCAAATAAATAAAATCTTAAAAAAAAAATATGTATATATATATATATATATATATAATATTTAGTATTCTCTGCACCCAACGTGGCACTCGAACTCAGGATCCCAAAATTAAGAGTTGCATGCTTTGGGGACTGAGCCAGCCAGGTGCCCAACTCATCGTATTTAACAGCTGATTCTCCATAGTATGAATAGAATACAGACTATCGGGCCATTTTCCTGTAAGTAGAATCAAGGTGGTTTGTTTCTCTGTCTCTCCCCTCCCGCCTTTCTTTATCACTACAAGTAATGAACATTGATGTCCCTTTCACAGAAAGCTGGGAAGTAGGCTTAGGGTGGGAAGAGCTACAGCTATTTGAATGCCTGCTCTTGGCAAACAGAATCTCATAAACTGTGGCTCCTGGGCCTGGTTGCACTTTGGAATCTCTGAGGGAACTTTTCACAAACAGGATTCCAGAGTCCTGCCCCAGGTCTCCAGGCTCAGAACCTCTCAGGGTGGGGCCCAAGATCCCCCAGTGATTCTGACGCCACCATCCATGCACTGGCATTTAGATACCCCTGGGCCCTCCACCAGCTGTGGGAGGTAGGTGTATTATTTTCATTTTGCCAGTGAACAAAAGGAGACGAGTGACTTGTCCAAGGTTCCAGGCTTGGTGACAAAGCCAGGACTGGGCACAAAGCTCTCCTGACTCCCAATCCTCAGGTACTAGTGGTGTTAAGGAAACACTTTCTCTTCTGCTTTCCCACCTTCAGGGAGGGGTTTTCACTTGCCCAGATTGGGAAGCTGCACTATTAATATTTCAGTGGCTTTCATGACTTAGGCCGGGGGTGGGGTGGGGGGGAACGTGGGTTTTAGAGCTGCACACATCTGGTTTACATCCTTCCTGCCCCCCAGAGTGGTAGTACCCCTCACGGGTTTGCTGTGAGCACTAAATGAGGGGAAATAGGGGAAGTGACTCACACACACAGCACAAAAATCACTTAGCAAAAACCACAAACCCCCGATCACCCTCATTTCATAATAGGAGCTCATGTGGTCCAGTGTTGGCATTTTACCTGCATCTCATTTGCTTCTCAAGACAGGCAGGTGAGATAGGTCTCACTGTATTCACGTTACAGGTGACAGAACTGAGCCCCAGAGAGGTTAATAACTAACCTCAAAGGCAGAGCTACAAAGCAGACTGGAGGGATTGGAACCCAGGGATCTCACTGGAGTCCCAAAGATTCACTGTATCCACTAAGTAAATTGTATCCCAGAATTGGCTCATTTGAGCCTAACAGGGCAATGCCATCCTCAGTAAAGCTGAGTCTTGCATCAAACAAGGTTCAACACAAAGATTCACACACCAGCTGCCCAAAGCTCATCCCCCACATTCTCAGAACGGAGACCAACATCTGAAACCAGTCCCTTCCACCACCACTTCACCCCTTCTCCCCACCAGGCATTCAAGAGACAAGCAGGGAAACGTTCAGCTCCCCAAGGGTAACAAGAGCCCAAGAAAAACACTTCCAGTTACTATCAGGCACTGGAGTTTATTATTTCACACAAAAGTTAGAGGCCAAGGCCACAGTGTTGTTAAACACCTCCCTCCCCACCCCACCCCCAAAACTCCCCCCAACTCTGCTATAAAAACAGAACATAACAAAATACCACAGTTCAGGTGGCGCCAGTAACAAAGAGTGGCTCCAAAAAAAACAAGACAAACACAAGACACAACATCGTTGCACGTTTATATGAAACTTGCCATGGCCCACAGAGAAGGTGGTCATGGCATGTCAAGGAGACCGTGAACCCAGGGCATTTGGAGGTTCAAGAGAGCTGCCACTTCTGGCCATGTCTTCTGGGCTCTGCTGCAGGAACTGGGAGTGCTGAGGGGCCAGGCAGGATGCTCATCCCACTTTGGAAGTTCATGTCAGTGAGCTGGATGTGCTTTTGGTTGGGGAAGATGATGTCACAGACTCCCTTTCCAAAGACAGGGATGCAGGGACAGGGTGGGGGGCACAGAGAGCCCCCCATGTCTAAGGTAAGGAAGCCAGCCAAGAGAGAGATGCCTTCTCCAGAAAGCGGGCCCTCCACTGGACACAGCTCACAGTGTAAGGAGCCAGCGCCCTTGCATTTACATGACATAAAGCCCCACAGCAACCGTTGCCACCAGGAAGCTGAGTGTAAGGACCCATCGGAGGAGCGGTGCCTGGGAGAGAAGGCTGAGCTGGGGCTTCCCTCTGGGAGTCTCCGTGGGAGTCGAGTCTGAAAGAGAGAAGGGGGCAATGTCACCAACAGGTGGACAGAGGTGGGGCGTATGGGAGGTCACAGAAAAACACAGCAAAAGGGCCTCAGCAGTCTCTAGTACAGTCCCTGCTCAATGCCAGGATTCTGCTAGCGCAGCAGACAGGGAGCCCTCTGGCCACTGCTTGGATACCTCCAAAGACAGAGAGCTTACTACTTCTCCAAGCTGTCCACTTTTCCATTTTCAGCCAGCCCACATTGTGAGAACACACCCTCCAGGAGCACTCGAGGGGACCACACTGCGTGAGGGTAAAGACCCCTCCCCCTACCAGGTAGCTCATCCCATCCCATGAGGACTGGCCTCCTTCCCATGTTCCCAGGCACAATTCCACCAACAGAGGGTTCCACGTGGTCCCGGCTCAGGTGGGGAAGGCACAGGGCAGGCGGGGGAGGGTGGCTCCAGGAGCAAAGTCTTCAGTAACCCGCCAAGCAGGCAGCTGGGCTTCACCTCTTCGTTCACCCCCCCAACCGCCGAGCCACAATCCCGCCCAACCGTGTGTCAGGCTCAGTGAGGGTATATTTCGTGGAGCACTTTGGTCTTTCTGGAAGTTTTCCAGATATTCTCTCAGCACATGTCTCCCTCCGAGGCACATGAGGGAGGAACTGACATGCAATAAGACCCAGGGGGTTCCTTGTCTTCCCCGGTGTCCCATGGCACGGTTAACAGCTAGGACCACTCCTAGCCACCCTGCCCCACATCAGGCAGTCTCTGCTCAGGAACCATGAAAGGGCCGAAAAAAAGCATCTAAATTAAGAGGCTCGTGGGGCACCTGGATGGCTCAGTCAGTTGAGCATCCGACTCTTGATCTCAGCTCAGGTCGCAACCTCAGGGTCGTGAGTTCAAGCCCCACGTTGGGCTCCACACACACACACAAAAAGAGGCTCTGCCCATGACTCCTGAGGGTCCTTTGTGTGCACGTCTGTACTAGACGTGAACTAGAACTTGTCGACCACCCTTGATTTTATTCTTTTTTTTTTTTAAGATTTTATTTATTTATTTGAGAGAGAGAGAATAAGAGATAGCACGAGAGGGAAGAGGGTCAGAGGGAGAAGCAGACTCCCTGCCGAGCAGGGAGCCCGACGTGGGACTCGATCCCGGGACTCCAGGATCATGACCCGAGCCAAAGGCAGTCGCTTAACCGACTGAGCCACCCAGGCGCCCTCGACCGCCCTCGATTTTGGAGATGGGGAGACTGAGGTTGCACAGCTGGCCCTGAGCCACACTCCGAAAGATGGCCCCAGGGCCCTGTGCGCGCGCTCTACTTCTCACTTAAAATACTCAGAAGACAGAGACAGACAGCTGGGCCCGGGCTCGCCTTCCACAGAGCCCATCCCGGCGGGGAGGCCTCACCTTGCACCCCACTGCCAACACGCCGGCGCAGCCCCGGGGCCTGCGAGGGGCTCTGGTCCTCGGCGTCCCGGCTCAGTAGCTCCTGCAGCTCCTCGAACAGCTACAAGACAGAAGACATGCGAGCCCGCCCCGGTGAGAGACGGCACTAGGCCCCGGCCAAAGGTGGTATGTTAAGCTGTGCTAGGAAATCTTGACGACTCCACAAAATCGTTAAGCAAAATATTGAGCAGTCCCATTCCCGTCACCCAGCTTTTGAGAGAAAATGTGACAGGTGCATCTGCGTCACCTGCTTGCTCCTCCCCTCGTGCTCGCAGGCAACCAGCATCCTGCCACGAGGGCATCCTGTTCATGCCCTTCTCCCGTGTCCTGGCCACGCCTGCACCGCCCGGGACCCCCCCCGCAGTGCCAACCTGGGCACACACACACACAATGGCAATGTTGTAGCGGAGTGCTGTCGCAGAGGGCTACGGCAGCGCCCGTCACATCCCCAAAGGAACACAGCTGATGCGACAGGGCGGGCCTGTGGCAGCTCCTGCCATCGGGCCTCGATGGGTATGAACTCACTTGAGCCTCCCAACAACTCTAAGAGGCGGGGGCCGTTATAGCCCCATTTTACAGACCGGGCAACTGAGACGAGAGCAGCCAGCTGGTCAGTGGCAGAACTGGAAGCCTGGCTTCACCACAACCCACAGCCCCTTCCGCTGCACAGAACCATCCCCAGAGTGGCGGGGGGAGGGTGGGCGGGGTGCAGGGGTGCGGGGAGGGGGCGGGGGGGGGGGGCGGCGGCCACCCTGGGCTGCCAGACCCTCACCTGAATGTTGAGCAGGAACGCAGTCTTGGCCTCCTCGAGGACTCGCTGCCTGACCTCGGGGGTCATCTCCAGAGAGTTCATGCGGGAGCGGTAGAGTTGCTTGAACTTCGTGGGGCTGGCGATGTTGGGGAAGGTGAAGAAGTCCACGCCCTCCCCGGAGCTGGGCAGGGCCAGGGCCTTCTGAGCGATCTTCTTGAGGACCTGGCCCCCCGACAGGTCGCCAAGGTAGCGGGTGTAGGCGTGGGCTACCAGCAGCTCCGGCTGCCTGCGCCCCACGTCCTGGAGCCTCCGCACGTAGCGCCGTGTGGCCTGTGTGTAGGGGATGGCCTCCTGCCAGTGTGCTCCGTACCAGAAGGCCATGTCCCGCTCCAGGGCAGCCTTGCGGTGCAGCTCTTCTGGGAAGTAAAGGGGGGCGTAGACCGGGTTGTCCTGGTTGCGCTCGATCTCCTCCTCCAGGGCCGCGTAGATGTGGTAAAGAGAGGCCATCACCAGCTGAAACGGTCAAACGAGCAGGTCAGGCTGCTGGCCTCGTGCAAGAACCCCACCCAGCCCCTTCGCGGCTGCCTTAGCGAGACCCTCAGGGACTCCCCAGGCTGGGCTCCCACCTGCTGCTGCCCGCCCCCGTCCAGGGGAACTGAAAACCCTTTCACTCCACTGGATGAACGCGCAGCCTAACTTATTCCTTATAAAACCCCAACAGAGGAGTTGCTATCCCCGCTTTACGGAAAAGGAAACTAGGCTTGGAGAACGTAGGAGACGGTGAGACCTCACAGGAGCAAGAAATGGAAACTGGAGTCAGGCCGAGGCGCTGCTAGGAGCCAGCACAGCTCTGGAGCAAGGGAGGACCTGAATGAAAGCCTTCCCGGGAGCCTCCCAGCCCCTCTGGACTTGGACCTCCGATTCTCCTTCCCTGAGACCCACTCTGAACCCCACCACCTCCAGAGGCTGGGCTGGGGAGACTGGCTCAGCACACCTTGGCTTGGGAATCTCCCGTTACACATTAATACTCTAGTCTGAGTTTGAAGGAGGACCACTGGTTGAGGTTTCCGACTTATTTCTGAGCCATGAACCTTCTCAATGGGGCAGAAAGCCAGGCAGCCGGATACAAAACAGCCTGGGTTATCGAGTGTGCCAACCTGGTTCTAACCTCAGCTCCCTGAGCTGTGTGTGACCCTGGGTAAGCCACCTGCCCGCTCTGGGTCATGGAAGGTCCGAGCGACTGTCCCGTCAAGCCCTGGTCCCCTCCCCTGCCAAAGGGGACAACGATGTCCTAAAGGGGGCTGATGTGAGCGTCAAGGAGGGTGACACAGGTCAAGTACTAGACAGAGGCTGGCACTTGGCCCTCAGTTCCGAAGCTGTGGTGATAAATGCCCCCCTCCATCAGCATCCTCTACGTGAGCACTGGGTTCTCTCCCGGATCTTCGTGCCCACTTTGGACTCAGTGGCTTAGAGGCAAGATCCAAAGTCCCAGTGTCTGGAGATGGGATACTCCGGCAGTCACCTCCCTGGATCCTGCTGCCCGCAGCCACAGTCCAACAACTGGGTATATACCATCTTCTTGAGAGACGGGGGAGGACGGGGAGAGGAAGCCAAGACTAGACGTGGCAGCCAAGGGCCTGACCCCCTAGAACTGTATGACACATGTCACCGAAGCATCTCTCCGGTTGGAAGTGGGGGGAGGGTGCAGGCCGCAAAAGGGAGGGAGGGGTGTCAGGAGTCAGGGGATAGAGCTCCCCACCCCAGCACCCTCTGTTCAACCCGAACAAGCCTCTCCTCGCACTGATGTCTGAACACCTGACACCTGCCCGATTCTTCGAGCGCTCGCCTTCTATTTGCATGAATTCCTCAGCCGTGCTGGGAAACAGCAAAATCCGTGCCTAGCAGAGAGCGGGTGCTTAAGAAGACCCTGCTGTCGAAATCCCACTTCACAGAGGAGATGCCCACAATCTTCCTGTGAGCAAGTGGTTGTGCTCGGCCTCGAACCCATGCCACCCCTTACCTTCAGAGGCACATCAGAATTAGGTCAGGAGCACTAGGTTTGAAGGGAAACCAGCCTTGGTCTGATTGCAGCCTTTCCCATTTACCTGCTGGCTGTGTGACCTCCCGCTAGCTACTTCACCTCTTTGAGCCTGCCCTTCCTCATCTTCCTTACCCAGAGCTGAGGCACAGATTAGAAATGGAGTGCGTAAAATGCCCAGCACAGAACAGGGGCTCAGGAGCCGGCTCTACTGCCCTAGCCCCTCCATGGCACTACATGGCAGGCTGTGAATTTGCTACATGACCTTGAGTAGGTCACCTGCCCTCTTTAAGCCTCAATGTCATCTGCAACATGATTCCCTTGGACATGCCCCTCTGGTCCCTCAGCATCCCTGGTCCCAATCCCCACTTAAACCACTGGCCTGAGCACCTCGGACACACTCACACCCGTCACACCCTCCAGCGGTGCTGGTCCCACCAGGCCACATACCTTAAAGCCTTTTTGGGTCACCTGGCCCTTCTGGAAGTTCTTCATGAACTCGGCATTCTCCGCCTGGATGTGCACCTCCTTGGTGGCCTCCTTCAGGGCCTCTGACAAATCCTGGGGCATGCTGCAGAAGGGAGGGAGGGAGGGAGGGAGGGAGGGTGAACAAGGATGGCTCCGAGCAGGGTTCCTCCCAACGCTGAGTTTCTGAGGATGCCACCTGCCCACCAGCAGGCCTTCGAGTGGTATCAGGCTTCTCTGCAGAAAGAAGTCCATCCTGCCATCTGATACACAGGCAAGGTTCCCAACTACCTTAGGATGCAGCCCCATCAACATGCTCCAAGTCATATGACCAATTGGGAAATCCTGGTACCAGTTATTGTTTGGGGGGAGGTTTGCAACACCCAGGGAGAAGTAGCCCCGGCAGTATGAACGGTCATATTTCATATGAACATTCATATTTTATAAGAACATTCATATTTCATATCATAATTGCTTTGATTGGCTTTAGACCCAAATTTAATTCATTTATTCTATTGACATTTCACACTCAAATCCCTCATAACGTTACGCTCATCATAAAAGCACTTGGGTTAAAAAATCTGCAAAACTCTGTTTTACTCAAAGAAAAAGTCCCCTTCTGGGAGTATTTCTGCCCCATGTCCGTCTCCACCTCCTGCAGAATCGTCATTTCTCTTTTCTCTCCCGTACTCCTTCCAGAAACATCACCGTGGTTCTATACATACTCATCAAACTCTTGGGAGAAGGGAAGGGGCCAGACTTGGAGGTGGACAGACTGTGGTTCAAATCCCAGCTTGGACACCTGCTAGCCAGGGGGCCTTGGGCTTCTTGCCTCCCTGAATTGTGCAGGGCTCATCTGTAAAATGGGGACAGGACAGCCACAGTGGTGTCTGGTTCAGGTGCTGGACCGCTAGTAAGAGGAGGATGCGGCCACCAGGGGGCTCTGGCAAGAGAACCAGCCACTGTCACCCAGGCTCCTCGGCAGCCCCAGGGATTCTAGATTAAGCAGAGAGCACCTCCAAGGACATTAAAAAGTCCCCCCCAAAAAAAAAAGATACCATAGGGACACTCCCATCTGGTTACCCACCCTGTGCCAGGGAGTCAGACGTGTAAATCACCTTTCATCCCTCTAATCACCCCCCACCGGACGGGACCGAAACCGGGCTCCTCCTTAGTCCAAAGCCCAAGGCACTCAGAGAAGAGGCTTCCCGGCTCTGTCTCGGAGAGGGGCTGCAGACCACAGCTAGGCGGCACGGCAGGGGCTGCCCTCCCGGGAGAGACCGATTCCCCGCGCCCCGCGCCCCGCGCTTGCCTGTCGGGCTGCGGGCGCTCCATCCGGCCAGCGCTCGGTACGGGATCTGGTGCGGGCTCCGACGTGTCCAGACGCGCAGAAGGACGTGCGAGAGTGGCTGTGCCGAGCGCGGCCGCGCCGTCCATTTATCCCAGCGGCGGGTCACGTGGTGGCGGTCAGCAGCTGATCCCCACATTCGGCCAGACGTTGCAACACCCGCGCCGCGCCCGCCCCAGGCCAGCGGGGGCGGAGGGGGAGCGGTCATATGACCCAAAGAAAACAAAGCAATTTAAAACAGGACGCTTAAAAAAAAAAAAAAATCTCTTGTGGAAATCTGAGCGGCTGTGTGATTTCGTCCCTTCCAGAGGCCCCCATGGCAGGACGGGACTTGCGCACCCTGGGATTATGAAAGGTCCAGAAAGCTGGGAGGCTAGTGGGCAACGGCCGGGACTTACCAGCCCCAGACCCTGCCTGCTGTCCCCTCCTCCCCGTGCTGGGAGCCTGCGCTCCCTAGACGTCACCTCTCCCCAGGGGACCCTGCGCTGACAGCCTGCGTCCTAATTCTCACTTTATATGTACAATGAGGACCTTTTTTTTTTGGAGCACCTACTAAGTGTTAGAGACTGTATTGTGTTTATGGTTCCTCCCTACAACTATTCTCTGGGGTAGATCACTACCATTTTACAGACGGGGAAACTGAGGCAGGGGGTGATGACGTGGCGTTCCCGGGGTCACACATAAAGCAGGAAACTGGGACCCAAACCTGGGAGTGAGTTGAACTCTGCCCTCCTCCTCCAAAGCTGTCATAGCACTTGGTGCACACGCAACCTGAGAGCCATGCCCGGCACACAAACTACTTCCCTGCTTGCATGCCTAGGGCGCTCTTCCAGAACTTGTCACCGCTGACTCCTCTCTTCACAGAGCCGGCCCTTTCTGGGCCACTATTGAACTAGGTCTGCAGGAGATCCATCACTTAGGACTGGGGGAGAGCAGGTCACTGGGTGAGACCAGGTGAGAAAACTGGATGATTCCTGAAGTCCTGTCCCCATGCCACCATTCTGGATTCTAAATTAAAATACAGAAACACAAACAAAAAACAAATTATTAAAAGGTGACTTTGGCTCAGGACAGGGATGCTGTTTGGAAATGGAGGTAGCAAGTGCCCCACATCTGAAAAAATGCAAGTACGGGCTTGAGCGTGGTCTGTCAAGCATGGATTCCCCAACTGGGGGACTGTGGTGGCTGAGTCCAGCTGTTCCTTCCATCCTCGTGTGTCTAGGAGGCCCTGACGCTTGGAGACAGTCTTCAAGAAGTGGGCAGTGGGTGCATCTAATCCGAGGTCAGAGTTCTGGCCCGTGAGCCACCCTCTTGCAGGGTCACTTACCTGAGTGTCAGTCACCAAATCAATCTGGCGATCGGGAGGTTGCTGAGCCTTCCAGATAGAGGGGCTGTGTCAAGAAGTTTAGTCTATAAACTACAGCACCACCTCTGTTTCTATGAACAATGGTTACCATACTAATAGCTAATATCCACCGAGCCCTGACTGTGCACCAGCTACTATTTAAACACTCATGCATTAGCTCAATTAATCCGCACAATTACCCATAAGGTTGGTATTATTATTCCCATTTTACAAACGAGAAAACTAAGGCAGAGGAAGTTAAGGTTTTGAACCCAGTCTGGGACAAAGATTTTTAAAACTTCAAGGTGAGGTGTCCTCTCCCAGAGATGACAAGATTCACAGAGGTCAGAAGTAAAGCTGTAGCTACTAGAAGATTTAAAAAAAAAAAAAGGGGGGGGCGCCTGGGTGGTTCAGATGGTTAAGCATCTGCCTTCGGCTCGGGTCATGATCCCAGGGTCCTGGGATCGAGTCCCGCATCGGGCTCCCTGCTCCTTGGGAGCCTGCTTCTCCCACTGCTTCTCTCTCTCTCTCTCTCTCTGTCTCTCATGAATAAATAAATAAAATATTTAAAAAAAATTAAAAAAAAAAGTTGTCAATGGGCACCTGGGTGACTCGGTTAAGCGTCTGCCTTTGGCTCAGGTCATGATCCCAGGATCCTGGGATCCAGCCCTACCTCAGGTTCCCTGCTCAGCAGGGAGAGCTCCGCCCTCCCCCCTTCTTGTGCTCTCTTTCAAATAAATAAATAAAATCTTAAAAAAAAAAAAAAAAAGAAGTGTTGCCAAGAATTTTCTAGAAATGAGGGCTATTAGAAACCAATGGCCTCATTAGAATGCAAGTTTCCTGGAGGGCAGGGACTTTGCTTTGTTCTGTAAATCCCGGAGCCTGGAACAATGCCTGGCAGGTAGCTGACTGGTCTGCACTGATTGATTGGAAAGAATGAATAGATAAACCAAAAGATTTTTCTGGTAAACATGATAATATCCCTAGGCTGCCCCGAAAGAGCTGGAATCAAGTTACAAACTGCAGTCTTAGCCCAATTTTATGGACCACTTTCCATGGGCAGAGCCTTTAAGTGCAGGATTTCATTTAATCCTGACATCGGACTTCCAGGTTATTGTCATTTTCATCTCCATTTTGTCCACATAGACACTACGGCACAGAGAGGTTAATAGCTTTCCCAAGTCACACAGCTAGTAACAGCAGAGCTGGGATTCCAACCACGGTGCTTTGCAGCCAGAGCCCATGCTCCTGTCACCCCCGCCACCCCCCCCGCCGCCTCACCACATGCCCTGTCACAGAGGTGTCCATCTGTGCCCCAGGTATTTGGGGGATAAGGGTGCCAAGGTCTGAAAACTTCCCTGAGCACATCCAGAGCCTGTCAATTCAGGAACCCCAGAAAGCAATGCTTGTGTGATCTGACTCCTTCTTATCTAACATGGGGGAGCAGAGGCCCCAAGTGGGGACTGACTTGCCCCGTAGGACAACACAGAGCCTTCAGTGACCACGGGTTCCTGGCTCCCAGTCCAGGCTTGCTTCTCATTCTAACTGCTGCCCTAAGAGCCCCCGACTTGACCAGAACAGACCCCACACACCGACAACCCCGGGGCAGAGGAGGCTGGGTCAGAGCTGATCTGGCTCTTTCCTCCGTCCCAGTGTTGAGTTTGTGGTCCTTCCGCGTGCTGATTCAGCTTCCTGACTTCCCCTTCCCTGCCCTCAAGCAACTGGAAAGATCCAAATGGTATTCTTTCTCCTCCTGTGGTAAGCTGAATAATGCACCGCCCCCTCCCCCCAAGGATGTCCGCATCCGAATCCCCGGAACCTTTGAATATGTTCCATTATGAGGTAACAAGGATTTGGCAGATGTGGTTAATTTAAGGATCTTGAGATGGGGAGATTATCCTCGTAGGCCTAATGTAATTACCGAAATCCTTCTAAGAGGGAGGCTGCAGGGTGACAGATACAGAACGGGACCTGACAAGAGAAACAGGACTCCAAGACTGGAAGATGCTAGTGTTGAACAATGGAGTCGGGGGCCATGAGCCAAGGAGAGCAGACAGCTTCTAGAAGTTGGAAAATGTGAGGAAGTGGACTCTCCCCTAAAACTCCAGAAGAAGCACCCCTGCTGACCTGTTTCAGGACTTCCAACCTCCGGATCTCCGGAGAATAAACATGTGTCGTTTTAAGCCGCTATGTTTGTGAGAATTTTTACAACAGCAACAATAAAGGAGGATGGCCCCCCTCGAGGCCTGCCTTCCTCATATAGGGAGCAGAGCCTCAGCTTTGGGAAGCAGGACACAGATGGATAGACCCTGGGAGTTCCTCCTCAACTGCTCCCTTCTGTCACCTCCCAGCATGACGTGGGGCATTCCACCGTGAGAGCTTGATTCCCTCGGAGAACCCACCCCCTCTTCTCCACACCTTCCTCCGGGGGGTCAAATGCTTGAGGGGCTAGAATGGGCCCGTTTCATACGAGTACTAGAGATACAAAGCTGAAGAGGTTGGAAGCCCACCTTGACAGAGTCTGTGTGCTCAGGATCCTAATAGAAGAGGTCTGGGACCAAGGGAAAATGATCTGGAACGGGGGCAGGGGGCACAAATTGTGGGTAGAAACCGGGAAGGAATCCAGAGGTCTGCTGTCAGCCAGGCATTCTTCCCAGCATGGTCTCATTTCATCCTCACCAAACCCAGGAGGTGGGAGTTCCTCTGTGGTGGGCAGAATCACAGCCCCCCCGGAGATGCCCATGCCCTACCTGGAACCTGGGACTAGGTTATGTGACTGGTTGAATACGCTCATTGCCCTCTGCATCTGTCATGAAGATTGCAGACTTCAAAGTGGGGGAAATCCTGCTGGATTCTCTGGGTGGGCCCAATCGAGTCGCAGGAGTCCTAAAGGTTGAGAGCTTTCCGTGCTGAGAGGCAGAGGAAACAGGGCAGGAGAAGTCTGATGTAGGGTCAGGAGGACTCAGGGATTGCAGTGTTCAATCAGGGTCAGGTCAGGGTGGACTCACAGGCTAGGAGGTGTGGGAAGAAAGTTGTTCCAGGCAGCCAGGGAGAGGCAGGACCGAGGCCCGCAGGTGGGACAAACCCGGCAGCAGAGAGAGGGAGGTCTCACTTGGGATGGATCGCTGTGGATGCTGAGGGGCAGAAGGCTGCCCATCACCATAATCCAGGGCTCGGACAGGACAGGCTGAGAGGCAGCCTAGGACCTCCGCGTTCTAAAGGCGGAGCCATCAAGAATGTCAGAAGAATAGGAAGTGAGATGTAGGGATGGAGAGGAGTCCCAGAGAACTTGGAATTGCGAGTTTACTGCCACGGGGGATGCTCAGCGGTGCAGTCTGGGACGCACGGCCTTTGAGATGCCTGGGACAGGGCTTTGCAAACAACGTGCAAAGACCAGAGATAAACTGGACGCTTCTGCTCTTTTCTGGAAGCTTCTCTTCTTCCAGACTGCTGTGAAAGCTGCCCTTTCACCGAGACGTCTCAGAGGGAGGCTGAGGAAGTCGCCGGTGACTCAGCAAAATCCTCTTTCCTTCCCTTTGTCTCTGCGAGCCCCCCTCCCAACCGTGACTCAGCAGAAACGCAGTTGCTTGAGGGGAATGTGGAAATCTGGACTCAGCACTCGGCTGGCACCGCCCATCACTTGCCTGAAAAACAGAAGTGGTTTCTGGACGGAGGGCGGGCGCTGCCGTCTCCCAAGGCTCTGA